CGTGCAGGCTATCAATGACCTCAGCGATCCCGCTGTTATCATGCGGGTCCGTCTTCTACTCGCCTTTCTTTCTCTACGTCAATCTAATTGTTCTATTATATTCAGGCATTCGAGCTGTGCCATGTCGGGGACTGGAACCTCTCGTATGCCTCGCTCACCTCCCCTGAAGCTCTCGCTGGTCTGCGCCAGCTTCGCACGACCAATCCGGCACTTCACGCTGCTCTCAATTCCGAGTCAGCTGACCATATTCAAGTCAGTGCGGATGTAGAAGAAGACGCGTACGATGATACTCTGTATGATGACTGCGATATCCCCCTTGAAGTCCTCATTGACCACCTCTCTTCCGGCGGCTCCTCTGTCGCAGACAATTTTGTTGTCGGTGATGATGGGGGAATTGCCCGATCGGGAAATGCGGAGGCGTCGGAGGCAGAGGATGAGTCCGATGACCTGCCTGTGGCTTTGGGACGGGGCCAGCGCAAGAAAATCGTGGCACGGCGGTATCTGGGCCCGGCTTGGGAGGAACATTAGATTATTTTCGCGATTTTTTTACGATTTTTTTTTGTCAATTTAGCATCGCTCAAAATTCGGTTTTTGACTCTCTGGCGGTGTGAAAAATTAAGGTGTTCATTGCCCAATTGTCACCGTCACATGTACCAAATTTGTTCAGTTCACGACCCTCCGTCACCCGTCACCTGAACATTTGGTCGAAATAGTACAGTACCCAAAAAGAAAATCCGATTCAACTGCAACCGGACGAGGAAACGGGGTTGACATCCAGACTCTAGATGCAGAAAGCATCACCACATTCACTACATTTTGATGGCCCCTCGGTCAACTTGGTCGATGTCGGCTGAGGTTGGCCGAGGTTGGCCGAGGGGGCTCGACCAGGTTGGTCGAGGGTCAGTTGGCCGAGGTAGGCTGAGGTTGGCCGAGGTTGTCTCGGCCAGGTTGGGCGAGCCCCTGATCTCTGTCCCAGCGCCTCCGGCATCGCTGGCGCAGTCAGCCGGCCTTCCCACAGAGTGTGGGAGCTAAAGTAGTTTGCCGATAGGCTGTGTAACTGATGTCGCGTGGCATGGCCAAATCAGGCCATAAATCCGAGATGTGTCTGGTGGACTGGAGTGGACTGGGGGAAAACAGAGCGTGAGGGAATACCTAGAGTTGTGGGGTTTAAAATATTAGTAGATGAATATTAGTGGATGATACTCATGAAAGAGGTGGATTGGAGTAAGTATGTATGTTACAAACAGCGGGAGTCGCTTTCGGCATTATGTCTCAATTTGGAGGGCCCTTTACGTGTTGTGATCTATCTGCTGGATCAGTAGATCGCTCGTTACTAATAGTAACGGTTTAACAATTTAACAATTAACAGCGGCTTGAAATTGAGCTCGACTAAAGGTCAACCATTGACCAACCTCGACCGACTAGGCCGAGCCAAGGAGTTGGCCGAGGTTGGTCGAGGGCCTCGGGCAACCCCTTGGCCGAGGCAGCCCCAAAATGTAGTGATTGAAATTAGGATTACTGCGAAGGAAGAACCCCATGATCCAAGAAAGAAGGAAAGAAGAGAAAAAAGGCTCACACCTATATAGCCCAGCCCCGAATCGAACCGGGTTGTCTGCAATCGAACCACACTGGTATCGAGGACAGATGCAGAGTGTATTGCACGGGCATTCGTATGCCCTGCTAAGGGTTCAGTAATCAGCGGACGTAGTGTCACTATGACTCTAGGAGGGGAGAAACCTAACTGCCATTGGAAAGAAGATCGGGGAGCAGCAGGTCTAGGCCGATTTGAACCGGAAATTGGGCTTGCGCGCCTGCTCGAATAAATCAAACAAGCAAGTGGAACGTCAAACTGAAGTGCAGAAAGAAAGAAAAATGAGTCACGTCCAACATCAAGGCCAGCCCCCAGAGTCGAACGGGAGTCGTCTGCGTACATTCAAAGACGGTGCATCTTGAACAGATACATCCTACATGCCACGGGCCTTCTACGCTGGTAATCATGATGAGAGATAAATGGTTCGTCTTGCAAGTATTCCAAGTCCAAGCCGAGCTGGAAAGTACGAGGGCTGACTGATTCTATACCAAAGACAGCATGGGACTGACTGGAGATATTCCCAAACATTGAGTGCAACGGTATGCAGGAGAAAGAGAAAAGACAGCCGTTTGGTTCATCCGGTTCGCGCGAAACAGGTTAACCTAAGAGTGGTGTATTTATCCGCACTTCTGCTGCGTACGTGCACGCACGATGAGTAAATTATTATCCACAACCGCAGTGCGATATGGTACCTGGATCTGGGCGCATCCATCCCCTGCGTCACTCCGAGCGTACGTCCCCATCCACGGCGTCATCGAGCACCTCAAAGTCGGCGCCTGTACACGGTGCGACGTATTTATACGCACGAGTGATGGCGGTGCGTGGAGCGTGGATTCGCCGGGAGGTGCAGAGGTTGGGTGAAACCCCCTCATTCCATGCGCGGGATGTCCCCCTTCCACCACCCACAGGCGCCAGCTCGGCACAGCGCAGCCCTTACATCCCTACTGCCAGGCACCAACCCTGGGCCCTCCCTCTCCGCGGCTACCCGGCCCACGCCTGCTAGGGTGCGTCTTAACGCCAGCGAGAGCGTGAGCGGCCCAAACGATGGGGCGGGTGTGTTGACGTTGGTGGTCTTGGTGTGTGACGGGAAGGACACCAAAGAGGAAGCGAACGACGCCGAGTACGGCGTGAAAGCGGAAGACGCAACAGATGCAGAGTCCTACCTCACCCCCTCCCTCCACTCGAACTCCAATCCGAATTCGTGTCTGAATCGGCGGCGTAAGGCGAGTTCGCATCCCCTCCGGTGCGGATGTACTAGAGAATGCGGAGGTGGAAAGGCGGATATGCGCGGGTTCGCGGAGGCAGGGTATGTGGGCGCACGCAGGGCTGAACGGCGACTCCGTTGGGTCAGCGGGGGTGAGCGGATATGGGGATGGATATCTGGGTGAGGAGTTGGGTTGGTGTTAAAGCTGACAGGGGAGGAAGCCAGCCGCACATCAGCAGCCCCAAACGTCTCGCACGTGGGGGACGCCGTGCGCGGCCCGCTGGAATACGAAGTTGAACTTGAAGATTGTGAACTCGAATTTGAACTTGGATAATTCGACGCGATTGGCGAGACAGGTGCCGACCAAGGGGAGGTAGAAGTAGAGGGGCGCCGTGGCAGGAGGGGTGGCACACGGAAGGAGTTCGAGGGTACACGCTGCACGCCAGGGATCGCTGCAGCCGTACCCGCGTTCGCACTCCCCGTATGCTGCGACACGTTCGACGCGCGGCGTAGGGCGTGCATCGGCGGTGCCGGGGCCACGAGGCTATTAAATCTCCCACTCGCGTCGAGACGGCGTTGGCGTTGGACCTCGTGATGGATATGGAGTTGATGAAGTGGCGGCGGTGGAGAGGGAGGAGTACGTGTGCCCGTGCCCGTGCGCGCGCTCTGACGTGGAGGACCTGGATGCCGACATTGACGCAGACGCCGAGGACGATAAGGTGGATGCACTGGTAGACGTGGTGCTCGACGCCAATGGGGCGCTGTATTTACTTTTTGGCGTAGTATTCAGCTGGAGCGGGCGGGGGCGGGAGTCTGAAGGAACGGGTTTGGGTTCGCTGCTGATGCGGATATGAGGCTCGTAGCGGGGAGGGGACGGGGACGGGGCTATGTAAGAAAAGAAAGAAAGGATAGATGTCAATAAATAAGCAAGCATCGCCATCGCGCACAAAACAACAGAACATACCTTGAACAAACGCAAGACTCCGGTCGATAGCGCTCCCAACCTGCGTGTGCAGCACCAGTCGAAAGAGCGTAAAGAACGTGCCGTCGCCAGGGGTGGGCACGGGAAAGAGGAAAACATTTCCGTTGAGTGATATAAAGCCAAAACGGGGAAAATGAAGGAGAAGAAAGGTCCCAGTCCCCAGCGAGGCATACCGCCCACAAGGTCTCGCGCATGCTCATGCTCACGCTTATCCTAACCCAATCCACGCTAGAGTCGTTGGAATTATTATTTGAGGTTGGATCGACATCGCGAGGTCGGCGCGAGGACATGGAAGTAGTGGGCGGAGGAAAGAGAGTGGAGTGGGGTAAGCAGGCGAGCGTAAGCAAGCGGTGCCGAAAACATGGCGTGGGAAAGGTTGAAACTGGGCAGTAAAAACAGAGTCAAGGCGACCGAGTACGAGCTGGCTTGCAGGAAGTTCAGCAAATATTGGGCGCTCACTTCACTGTGCAGGACAAAAAAGAGTTGCCCGACAATACACGGCCCCTCCCCGACTCGAACGGGATCTCTGCAGCAAGCTAAACTAAAGAGCCATGGAGTGCAGATGCATACCACATGCTACCGGGCCTTTCTGTGCTCTGTAGACTTGAATACAGTATACTCCAGGAAAGGTAACTCCGGGTTTTGTGGAATCACAGTAGCACCCCGCACTAATTGAATCATTCTGATTCATGGCAGAATGTTGCAGTCCGGAAGCAAGCTCATCAAACAACGGCGAGGAAAGATTCCCCGCGGGATGAGCGCAGTGCATATCAAGAAGCCTCGAGAATAAAACTGAGAAAGCCCGCAATAATGGCCCAGCCCCGAGTCAAACGGGCCTCTGCAGGTCATGTTCCAAAAACGCATAATGATATGCAGATGCATACCGTAAGCTACCGGGCCCTGCTTCATTCTGTGGGCCCCCTATTATGAGTCATGAGCTCTCTCTTCATCAATGCAGACGATGAGGATTTGGCATAGCCCGAATTATTTGCTGTTAGGCATTCATACTAACTTTCGGGGCGGCCATGATCATGTGAATGAGCCCTAGAATGGTATCAAAAAAAAAATCAGTCGCAACTATTTATGGTCCAGCCCGGAGTCGAACCGGAGTTTTGTGGTTAGGTCACGCTGACGATCGATTATGAGCAGATGCATTCCGCATGCTCCTGCGGCTTGGCTCTAGTGGAATGGCTCCTTAAGAAGGGGACCACAGAGCACAGAAAGGCCCGGTAGCATGCGGTATGCGTCTGCCATTGATGATGCGATGATATTTAGCCGTATAAGCAGTTAACCCGGTTCGACTCCGGGCTGGGCCATAGATCGAAGGAAAAACATTTTTCTTGCAGAGTCCACAGAGAAGTTGCTTTCCCTCAAACATCCAGATAGACACAGCACAGAAAGGCCCAGGTTGATGATGGAAGGTCTTTAATTGGACGCAGCCCAAAAACTCAGCGCACCAAAATAAACCAACCAAAAAGAAACGAAAAATGGACATCCCCCTTCTTCATACCCATGGCCCCTCCCACGCTCGGACTGGGTAGCAATCAATATCCAGCCAAGCCATGGTGTACCACACGCCACGGCAGCCCGTAGATCCTGGAACAATACATAATGTTATTTAGCCATGGAGAAATAATTAATCCACATCCACCCATTCAAAGTCTGCCCGCCTTTCACTGAGTCGATTCTCTCTAGGACTCTAAATGGAGTTCAGATATTCTCGGTTTCCGTTGGCCGATGCGCGCCTAGCACGCTACCCAATGGGTGATAGACATTGATGGTCAATCCTACCTGAAACAGGCAAGGAAACTTGAAAAAAAAAAAACGCAAACGCACTTCAGCGAGGAAACCCTGGAGAAACTAGTTCTTGCGGTGTCTTAGGTGCCTAGTCTTGCTATAGGGGAAACCCTGTGAGTCTCTCTGATCAGAGTCAGGAGTACGTCTTGGGGTGTTAATGCTCACCGTGAAGCTTTGCAGACTTGCTAACCTCCACGCATATCGCCCAGTGTCTGGATAAGATGGCTTCTCTCACTCCCTAGTACGTAGCTACACTCCGCTCGCCTGTTTCGAGTCCGCACTAATCTTCTCACCGGGGTCTAGGCGATTCTTGGGAGGATGTTGCCGATATCCTATTGCCTGTCGAAGGCGTTGCTGCCGTTACGATCAAGATTGCGTGCGTTGCCCGACTCACCGGCGTCTCTCTGGGCCTCTCGCACCGTCTTCGAGTCGCTTTGCGCCTACTGTCCAGCATTGCCGCAGACAACACAGCCGCTCTGTATATTCGCTCCACGCGCGGGGGCATGTCGGAACTCAGGAGACTTTGAGGATTTAGGTTGTGCCACTCGAAACCTCTCCGAGGAAAGCTTCAACTTCGAGGCTCATGTTACCGATTGATGTACTCAAATCTGTCATCTCAGACCCGGACAATCTAGAGTCTAGAGGTCTCTCGGCCATATCCCACAGTCAAGGAAACTAGCATCCTCGACCTCGAGGGCTTTAAACCCCCCAACCACCACACTCAATACCAAACCAGCCATGCTTATTTTGGCCTTCCACTCCCCAGAATTCAAACCATTACAGGGGTTCAACCTTTACATCTCACATGATAACCTACATGCATCCAACAACATTTCAAGTTTGTTATTGGGTCACCCTCTTGATGAAATTATGTGTGTGTGCGTCTGTTCCGAAGCCATTTAAACCACAAAAGCAAAGCACAATGTCTGCTCATTGGATCCACTCGCCAATACCGGCCACAAGTTGTGAATCAACTTATTTATTCTTCAAACAGGCTGGTATGCATGATAGACCAGATTTCAAACTCATTTGGAAGAGCTCCACAGATCAGGTGAAGTGCCCAAGCACGAAGCACCCGGGTCCCTGGCTTGCTCATGTAAATAAATAAATAGAGTAATTCAAACCAAACTACAAGAGTACAAACACAGTAACAAGGCAAAACATAAACACACTCAACACTACAGAGTGGACGAAAAATCAAACTGCAACCAACTAAGTCTCTTTTGCTTCATCCAAGTCCACCTCCAAGTCTTCAATATCAGATAGATCATTTTCAAGTTCCTCCACAGACTCAGAAGGTGCATTAAGCTCTGCTAGATAGGTCAAATTCTTTTTGTGTTCCTCCAGCAATCTTCACCCACAGGTGCTAGCCTTTCATCAATATGTTCAACCTGTTTGGTCTGGGACGACCACTCAAACAGTGGCCTCGCTGTTTTCCAAAACTCCACTGCCCCCAACAGGTTGCCATGTCCCTTGGAGATGTCTCCGAGGTGGAGCATACATTCAGCTCTGCTATGATGGACATCCATCTGGGTAAATCCCTCCAAGGCAACAGTGAACAAGCTGATTCCAGTCTCCACATCATCATCAGCAAGGAAGATGTCTCCTAGAAATTGAAGAGCTTTATGGATTCCAAGATTCTCTTTGAACTTGAGGGAATGCACAAAGTAAACTATTGTCCAAGATTATGCACGATGTGGAATATTCCAGCGACTAACATTACCCAGTCGCTCCAGGCAGCAAGATATTATTTGAGGCTCTCCCATGGATAACCTGAGACATTTTTCAAGAAGGTGCTCTGCTGCCAGTATATGTCCTTCTCTCAAATAAAGATCTGCAAGAACTGCATCACATGCTGCCACTTCCAGGACAAGTCCTGTGGTGCTAAATATTCTTCTGGCTGTCTGGATATTCCTCTGCACATTCTGGTGTGGGGCACTAATAGACACATCAATCTCGGCAATATTGAGTAAAGTAAAGACATGATAATATGGATCCTGGTCCTTAGGTGCTTCTTGAAGAATCTGAGTATGGATATTACGAGCCTCAACATATTCTGACTTTAGTTTGTGTACCTCAGCTATATTGGTCATGATTGAATGATCGTCACCACCAGACATGCTACAAAGCCCTAGGAGATCTCTTGCCTGGTCACAGAGGGAGATACTTTGCTTGTAGTCACCAAGTGTGAATAAGCAGTTAGCCTCAACCTGGAGTGCCTGTGCTTCTCTGACAAAATTTGCAGAAATCCTGGCCAGTCTTTGGGCTTCATGTGCATACACTTTGGCAGCAAAGTGATCACCGAGGTACCATGTGTGCAATGCAAGGTTGTACAATCCTTGGAGATGCATCTTGCCGTTCCCAGTGGAAATTGCCAAAGATACCGCAGTTTGACAATAATTTATAGCAGTGCTTGAATGCCTGATAATAGCCTGCTATGCTGATATAAAATCTGCCCAGAAAATGAAAAATCCATGTGAGCCCTGCCAAACTGATATTAATCAGAGAGCATACATTTGAGGTCTGTATCATCAATCTGCTCGAAATGTTTTAAGCATTGAGAGACTAGTGTCTCACGATTGGAAATCGGAAAATATCTCCAAGATGTAGCCAGCTCAGTAATAAAGTAAGCCTCGAGGTGATAAGAGAACCAGCTCTAGTATGAGGTATGAGGTACAATCAAAAAGAGTCGGATAGAACACACTGTGATCTGCGGGGTCTATTTCCTTCACTTCTGTCACACTGGCCTTCTTCTTCCCACTCCTCTTCTTCTGCTTCACAGATACGTCAGATCGGAGTCACTGATGACTGCCACACTGGGGGAGACTGGTCTTTTCTTGGGAATGCCCAGTGGTGGGGTGATAGAACTGGATTTGCGATCATGGATGTCGGGATTGTAATCAGACTCATATCCACTGCCAGTGTCCTCGAAGTCCGGATTGATTGACAGTGGGTCGGCCTCACTAGAGGTAAGGGGCAGCTGGGGGTCGATAGACCGGTACTTTTTGTGGGTAGTAAGCGGTGACCTGCACTTGGGCAGCGCTGGCATGGAGGAGAGACCTGAAATTTTTAGTTGTGACAATGTGACTTACTGCATTTGATCGTGGACACCTTACTGCTGAATTAGAGATCCTCGCAGGCCAATATTGGCCTATTGACTTGCGGGGAAAATGAAATAACCCAGGAGTCAAATATCCCTGGTCAAAATGGCTGAGATACAGCCATTGTAAGTCATAATGGCTCCGAGTGTCATTTCACTGCATATGCTGGGATTCAGGTGGCATTTTTACAGGTTAAGGCCCTGAAAATCAAATCTGACTTCGTAGCGCAATGTAATATATGCATATATTGAACATATACATGGCTCAAGATTCTCCGAACCCACAGGCAGCTTATGTAGAAAACACGCCCTTTTGGCCCCGGAGCCTCCTGTGCAGAATTTAAAAAAATCTAAGCTTGCCATGCACTGTAGTTTTACTTTCCGAATCGATTGAGCATGGTCCCAGGCCAAGCGGACAAGAATTGAGGCTGCTACGGGCGAGCTGGTGAAAATGATCAAAAAGTGACCAAAATGGGGGAAAAAGGTGCTCACGCCTTATGTTCCGCAAATAGCTGTAAACCAGTATGTGTGATTTCTGGCAAGTGGATCTCAGATATACTTGCAATGGTCTGTGGTAGGTAATGCCTTAATCAACCATTTGGGACTCATGTTAATCCTGAGATGTGCGTTCTATGTCATGAAATCACAAAATTGGTGACATTTCAATGGTGGTCCATTTCTCGCCTTATCACCGCGAGACCAAAATCTTCATTTGGTCATGTGGCGAGTGAGAGACGGTCAGTCAACATGGGCAAGCAACATGCTCTCTTCTCCCTCCCCGCCATGTCTGCTTCCACACGTGTTAACACTGGTCCAAACTGCAATATCAAAGATCCCACTTATCATTGTCCTGACCCTCATGTCATGATTTGCCTCATTTCCACTCTTCCAATTTATGCCTAATAACCTGTCTGATAAGCCAGGTTATTCAGTCCCATAGTTCTCACCAGGTTATTAACCTGGTCACCCTCACCCTGCTCCTTAATCCTAAACCCCTCCAATACCCCTTGCGACTTTCGTATGATTGACTCCTGGATCGCACCCCTACTTATCCGATCCAACCCCTACCTATTTAATCATCTCTATAACACCCCTTGCAACAACCCCTTGGCGCCCGCAGTCACCCCTACTCTCCTATACCCCTTCATTTCATGAGTATATAGACCCTGAGTAGTTAGCTACACTCCTTACACTAGCCTAGTCTACTCTCCAGTGCTTAATTGACTGCATTCTGCCTATTCCTTGTAACACCCACCTGCCCATGTTGCAGTTATCCCTGCAGTGAGGCCCTGTGCTGACACCTCAGTGCAATTGCAAGCATAGATTGAAGTGTGCCAAGAGGGGGATCAACGCTGGCAACAACTACCTACATGTACATCGAAATCTGCCTAGCTCATTATGTGCTGTATTATGCAGCGA